TTTTTGTTAAAAATTTTAAACAATAAAAAATTAAGATCCAAATGAAATATTTAAGAAAGAAATCCTTAAGTATACACAACACTAACATAACATGCTTTGTATTCTCATATACAGCCAAGTCCACTTACGGGAGCATCTTCAGGCTGCATCATGTTCCTTTATCCAAAATAAGATCAACTACTGGGTTGTTTGTGATATTCAAATCTTTTTACCCTGTCATATTTTAGAAGCTACATATAACACACTTTGAAATGTAAAATCTACAAGAAATTTTTACTGCACTCCAATTACCAATTATTCGCCACATAATACACTGCAAACAAAAAAAGATAAACTTCAGAAGGATAGGAACAACTTTAGCTGCAGAGGCATATAGTAAGAGTATAGAGGTAGAATGGGATAAGGAAAATTGGTGACGGGTTAGCGAGATCCTCAAACACAGTAAGAAAAATGTAGTAATCAATGTTGGAGATAATATCTTTTCCATGGTATGGAAGTTGTCACTAAATAGAAGATAGTCTGGATAATTGTTTTTAGAAAAATGACATTAACTGAAGAGTGCTCCACATCAGATTTGAAATTAATTTTAAGAATAAAGGATTGAAAATTTGAAACATAAATGTTCTGTGTGTGTGTGTGTGTGTAAATGTTCTGTTTTCGAACATAGCCGTGTTCGAAAACGGTTAAAAGGATAAAGCTGTTTTTCTGTTCTATGCAATTTTTCCCGACGAGGGCCTCTGAAAGACGGCCGAAAACGTTTGACCATTAAACCTTTTTATTGTTCGTTTGCTGGAATTATCACTTAGGCATGAAGTGGTTGCTTTGATAAAGAATTTGGTAATTTTTACAAACAGTGCATCTGAATGAGAAACATGTTTTGTTGATTTACGAGCAATTTCTTTTTCATCTTATTCAACTTCTTCACCTTCTTCCACTCCTTTCCTTTAACAATATTGCACATTTTGGTGAATCTCAACAAATACCACGGTGTATATCACTGCCGCGCATCCCGGGCAGTGTGTACTGTAAGATAACAGATACGGCCTTATTAATCGTTTTTAGAGTAGTGCTCTCTTATGCAAATTGCTACTCTAAAAACGTTATTGATAGGGCTATGATTTAAACAGACTGTATTACTATCTGGTGTCTTGCTACACATAAAATAAAAGAGAAAATTATGTATGTGGAAGGTGTTCTCTTAAGTGGACTTGACTATGTAATAAAACCAGTTTTTCTTTTAAGGATGTCTAAATTTTTCAAAAAATATCTTTTGTAATTTATTAACTAGTTAAAGATGACAATGAATGTGAATACTCTACACTTTACTCTAGTACAAACATACAGCCTAAAGGAGAACTACAGGAGACGGTGGAGTGTAAATAGAATAAGTAAAACGACAATGTCTCGGAGACTCACTACTAAGCGGGTCTCGTTCTCATTCTCCAATCTTTTTTAGCATCGCTGCTTTTGAGCGCGATCGTTTAAACTTCGCCGGCCGCGATGCATTTTCGATGAAATTAACTTATCCAGGTATATACTATCCAGTGTCGAAATTTCTTTTCGTTGCGTGACGGCCAGGGTGGAATTTTTGTCGATGCGTAACGTAAATTTCCCGTTTTTGAAAGAAATAATCGTGGCTATTGTATCGTCCGAAATTATTTTTTTCATTTTGCACAAACAATATACAGTTTAACCCGATTATAACGTTATTAGATGTAACGACAACCCTAATATAAAGTTGTTAGTGGCATGGTTAAAATTTGTACGTAGCACATTCTACCTTATCCGTGATGTCCATGTTGACTTCGACCACGTGTTCTGCCAGTAAAAATTAATTGAGAAATGATCCAGGCAAATAATTTACTTAATTTGTATCGGCAACGCGATATTTACAATAGCATCGAGATATAATATAAATCCAAGATCGCGCGGCTATCGACTCGAAAGGTCAATTAACGTGAAGTGAAAAAATGTCTCCCCTACCTTGTCCCTGATGTCCACGTTGACCTCGACCACGTGTTCTGTGTCTTTTGTTCTGTCGTTAAAAATTTACTAAACTGATAATTTACTTAATTTGTATCGGCAGAGTGATATTTACAACAGCGTCGATATATAATATAACTCCAAGATCGCACGGATGTCGAATCGAAAGGTAGTAAAAAGGTGTCTCTCCTCGTTAGAGTTTAGGAGCAAAGTGAAATCAAAGGGCGAAGGTCACGCGCAGGCGCCCTCAGTCCTAAGGTCAGAGTTCACTTCTTAGAATGACTGCGGGTGGTACTCTCCCCTACCTGACTTCGGTGGGGTGAGGTGGCTGTCTTGCCTGTTTGTAGAAGAGGGTCGCCATTTTGTATTTTATTTTGACTCGATTCTCGGTCCCCCGACTACCTACGAGTCTGGATTTTTTTATGTGCAAATGATTTGGGCACCTAATACTCTGTGCCAAATATCAACTCTCTAAATGTACTCCTTCATACCTCTATGCTGATAAGAACGGGTGGCCGTAGATTTTATAAACAAGACAGTCTTGTCAATTATTGTTACTACTTTAAAAGAATTTATGAATTTATTTTGAACATTATATAGTAAACTGTATTAATTTTTAAATATGTTTATTGCTTACTTTATCTTAAATAAACCGATGAAAACAATATTTATTTAAAAAAATTAAGAAACCTTTAATTAATATTTAAAAAAAATATAATTTTGATTTTGCTTTTGATGCTGAAGATAGATTGCATTGTATTAAAGACTACTTTTTATGAGAGAATAGAATGTCAATACTTGAGTATCAGTAAGGAAAGTTTATAAAAACACTTGTAGAAATGATGTGGTTGGCTATTATTAAAGTAAATTATATCATTGTGTAATGTAAGTAATCACTGAGCTGACTCTAGTGTTATCTTATGGACAAAGCATACATTCTTTTATATTTAAAATTAATTTATATAAACTAATCTTCAAATTAAATAGCCTGTATTTACAATCAACATATATAAGCAAACTATAGTCTGGATTGGACAAGACAGCAGGAGTTATAAGGCATTCAAACACACACAGATTATATTATTATTATTAATCAAAAAAACTATTGAAACTTATGGAAAAAATTATTAGAAAAAAGTATGGAAAATCTAAAATTTAAAACTTGTGAAATGATAATAGATCTTGACAATTGCTATAATTAATTATCATCAAAAATTATGTTTTTGTGTAATGTCCTTAAAATCTAATTGTTAATCGAAAGTATAGTTGTTAGCTTTAGTACTAAGCTATAGATTTTATAGCATAAATCATTGTTTAAAAATTACTTATGCTAGAGTCTGTGTAGCAAAAGAATAGACATGAGTTAACTTGAGCTGAAAGGGTCTATGTCAGATGAAAGGGATAGAAAGAGACATATGAAAGCTGATACATGGATCTGAACTTTCAGCTGTTTTGTTTTTACAGCTTTAAGACATTTTTATGCTATCTTTATCATAAATAGTTTGTAAAAAAATGTAAAATGATAAAACTGTTCATAATAAATATAGTATGAAGACATTTTAAAACTAAAAAACAAAACAGCTGAAAGAGATCAGATTGATGTGTCAGTTTTCACATATCTCCTTCCATCCCTTTCATCTGACATAGACACTTCCCACCCAGATTGACTCATACGTACTCTTGCTGTATGGAAGAAATAGTATCAGTAAAAAATTAATTTTTTCTGTGAAATTTTAAACTTTTCTCACTTCTTTCATCATCATATGATTTGATGGACCAATTATCCAGCTTCCAGAAATCTGGAATTACTAAAAATCTGGTTAGTTTTGAATTTGGAGGACCAATACAGCTGTAGTTTATCATACAGATGTTTTATTTTAGTTTCCATGGTATACACATTTCATGATTCTAGTTTCATTATGTTCTTTGCTTTCATTCATTTAATTTTTATCTTAAATACTATCAATACACTAAACACGATGGCTTCAAAACTTGCTAAAGAGGACGAAGAAGTTTAGGAAATTATACTTACTATTCAGGCCTCTCACCACAAAGACACTTAAAGAATTTTGATACAGATATGAACTGCCTGTGAATCTCTTTGTGCTAATGATCCTGATTGGGAATGTAGCTCTTTCAACCGAAGAGCTGTAACAAATGCTCTCAAACCATATATTACGTACCTCCGAAACCTTTAACCGATGTGAATAAATTTAACATTACTAACGTTTTCAGACCCCTCCTGGGTCCTTCTTCAGGTAAAAATCGTCAAACTAACCATTTGTTTTGAAAGAATTTTTCAAAACATCGAATGATAGAACGGCATTACGTGTTTTATATTCCCAAACGTAAAAGTTTCCACGTCATAGCGGAGGCAATTGAAAATATTTTTTTTTTTATTTTTTATATAATTACTGTTGTAAGATCATTGATGTTAAGCAAAAACACATTATATGCATACTGTCTACGCTTTTCGTCCTCCTTGCTTAAGTTTACGACTTCCTTAATCTTCCTGTTGCATTAGGGCTTGCCAAGCCAAAGATAGAGAGATTTCATCCCTGGAATTAATGGGTGATGAATCGTTGTATGCCCTGTATATATCTATCTGCTCTAACCACTTGAGATGGTCTGCATATGGGGTGGTGGTGATTAACTTGGCATTTGAGAAGTCTGCTACAATCTCTGGATCAGACGCGTAAGTGGATAAGGATGTGGAACATTTATTAAGTCGAATGTCACGGATGTGTTCCTTCCACCTGATCCCAACTGCTCGTTTCGTTGAGCCTATGTATACTAAGTCCCTGTCAAAACAGTGGTCCCTAAGTGGTACTTTATATACGCCTGGCAATCTTTCATCCTCAGATTTATCCTTTCCATTGCACAGCATATCAAATACAGAAGGGCATCTTCTGTAGGATAGTGATATACTACGTTGTTGAGCAATTTTACTATATAAAGATTGTAATACTGGGTTGTAAGAAACAGGTACCCTCCGTTTATCCACATTCCGGTTGCCATTACCGGTTGCGAATTACCCCTTTCAGAAGGGGTAATTCCACCATTCCACCGAACTTTTGTGACATTTTTTGTACGATGTTGTGGTAGCCATGATGCTTAGCCACTTTACACAGGAATTGTAGTTCGTGTTCCAAAGCCTCTTGCGTAGAAGAGTGTGAGTAGGCTCTTTTAACGAGGGCTCTAAACGCCGCCATCTTATATTGGACAGGGTCACAAGAGTCCGCCGTAATATATGTGGGATGGTCTGATGGTTTGCGATACACAGAGGTTTGTATTATCGGTCTACTAAAATCAATATTCACATTGAGAAAATGCACCGATGAATCACTGTGTTGTTCGACTTCCACGGTAAGTCCATATGGGTTGTTGTTCATTTGGTCCAACAACTGGGAATTGTTCGGGCAGCCCCTCCAGAGTATGATGATATCATCGACGTATCGTTTGTAAATTATGATGTTTTGATGGAAATTCGGTAGTGTTGCATTCTCCAATTGTCTGATTACCAGCTCACACATGTCCCCTGAGACAGAGCTTCCCATGGGGACCCCTTTACCTTGCATATGTGTAACTCCTCCGAATTGAAAGATCGAGCTGTAACAGATCAGGTGGGACAACTCTAACACCTGTTGATGGAACTCCTCATTGCGTAAGATCTTAAACAGTAAGTCTCTGACTCTGCAAAAACATGGCGGAATCTCGATTGAAGGATATAGTGTGCGGAAATCCATTACCGTGATATAAGTAGGATGTTCAGTGACCTTTAGTAGCTCCACTAACTCCGTTGGATTAGAGATCGTGTATCTGTATCCTTCTAAATGTGGAGCGATGATGTTGTGCAACGAGGCCTCTAATTTGCGTGTAGGTGCTCTGGCCTTATCAACAACCGGCCTTAATTTTTGGCCCTGTTTGTGGGTTTTTGCAAATGCAAATAACTTAGGGGTATCAGGTGCATCCATGATAATATTCCGTATACCTAATCTTGAGGCTAACTTTGTGTTAGAGAATTGTTTAACCTTAGATTGTATCTTGTCTATGGCGTTGTTTTCTGCCTCCACGCATCTGGTGACATCAATATATTCTCTAAGGCCCTTTTCATACGTTTCCCTCCTCATGATCACCAAAGCCTTGGTTTTATCTGCTCTGATTAAAGTAAGGTTGTTATTGCGAATCCACTTAGCTGTGCGTGAAAGGTCATCTCTGAAACGGATGATCTGTACTGAATCTCTTCCTTTCTTAAGTTTGCATGATGCTAACCACCTATAGTATTCTTTTTGTATGTCTGACATCCCTTGTAGCAGTCGTTCAAGGTCCAGTATACAGTTTCTTAAAGTACCCTTCGGATGAGGTGTAGGTGCATAGGCTGGACCATATCTAAGTATCCTTTGAGCATACATAGGCACTTGTATATTATCCCATACAACAAAAGGATATACAGGGCATACAACGATTTATCACCCATTAATTCCAGGGATGAAATCTATCTTTGGCTTGGCAAGCCCTAATGCAACAGGAAGATTAAGGAAGTCGTAAACTTAAGCAAGGAGGACGAAAAGCGTAGACAGTATGCATATAATGTGTTTTTTGCTTAACATCATTGATCTTACAACAGTAATTATATAAAAAATAAAAATAAAAATATTTTCAATTGCCTCTATGACGTGGAAACTTTTACGTTTGGGAATATGGAACACGTGATGCCGTTCTATCGTTCGATGTTTTGAAAAATTCTTTCAAAACGAATGGTTAGTTTGACGATTTTTACCTGAAGAAGGACCCAGGAGGGGTCTGAAAACGTTAGTAATGTTAAATTTATTCACGTTGGTTAAAGGTTTCGGAGGTACGTAATATTGAGTAAACTCCGGTGTGTAGTTGTTCGTTATTACTCTCAAACCATATTATAAAATATTGGATAAGAGAAGGAAAAAGGTCCAACAGATGTTTTACTGCAGTTCTTAACTAGAAAAACCTCAATGTATCAGGCCTTTTTCAGAGTCATTTAGATTATCTTATTAATGCTTCTTCATTATGCTACTGTTTTCAAACATGTTTTTAATTTATAATTATTAAGATAATAATTAGCTTTTAATTAATAATTAAGATAATAAAGCTTTTAAAATTATTCTTATGTAATTTGATCCAAAATATTAAAAAAATAAACTACACTGAATTTTTAATAGCTATCCATAATGTTAAATTTCAAACTTTAATTTGTAGTCAATTTTCATACTGAAGAAGTTAATATCATTTAAATATTTTGTCTCAATTTACAAAAAATTTACTTTTTTTTTTGAACTGTGTTGGGAACCTAAGCACTTTATAAAATGAGGCCATGCTGTATATAGTAGTCTAGAATCTTAGTTTAATTCTATATTATATTGGATCCTGATGATTGGGCCCTTTATACATGTATAATGAAGTTAGATGAAATCACATGTGAGACTCAGCCTTTTTTACTTACTTAACTATAGCCTGACCTAAATCTTTAATGATACCATTTTATCATTTAAATGTCAACTTTCACACCTGGGAGGCAATCACTCGGCAAGTTCTCAGTCACTAATACTATGTTCGCATACAATCCATGACAAACTTCGATATTGATTTACCTACAATCTGGATTGTAACTGTCGCCAGACGAACGTTGAACTGTTCGCACAGGCAGTCTGCTTGAGAAGAACCAACAAACAAAACTTCCATTTTGTTTGTTGGTGGCTATTACACACAATGATAAAACTAACATAACTATGTGATGAGTCACGAACACCAACAAAGAAAATGGAAGTTTTGGTTAGAAATAAATACATTTTCTTGCCATATGTCTAATAATAGGCAAATGTCATCGTCTCTCCAGATGTCTTTTTTATTTCTCTGTTCATAGCCTGACACGTGTTCTGCAACCATTTTGTATTTTCTTGTGCTTGTGGGATCTCTCTTATGACTAGATCTAGTTTCAAGAACTTTCTTGAGCGATCGTGATTGAACCTTGTTTCAGTTGAGATTGAAACAGTTGAGAGAGGTCGCACCACAGCATAGTTGCCAACCTTGGTCACAATCTAGATCGAAATGCTCAGTGCAAATGGGGTATAAGGGATTCTTCCTCATAACCTCCTGACCTATTGTTGCAAGTTTGTCAAGGAAATATAGACAACAGATCGATTTTCGGGCAGTTGTCATCCATCCTGCCGACCTTGCAGTCGCCCGTTCTTCGAAAGCTTAGTCGTCACCCGATTGGAATATTTTGTACTTCTCATTTTCGGCCCATTCACCTATTTATTCCCATGTTGGATTTGCCTAATCACTGACAACATGGTGAGTGCTCAATGTGGATTACCTGAACAGAACATTGGATTAACATAACAGAACTGAACATAGTTGAACAGAACGTGGATTAACCTAACATAGCATTGAATAGACATTACCTCTCAAACCAATGTACCCATTCTGGAAATCAAGGTTGTTCCAGTCAAAGGAACCTACTGATACGTCAGGTATCTATCATCACGCAGGTTTTTGTGTAAACTCTCTCTTACCGCGAAAGTAATTTCTCTCTCTTTAATTTAACGAGGAACGTATTTCCTGTAGTTTAACATCTTAGTTTACAATTAAATGTTGTTTTATTAGCTTACTCTCTGTGTAATCACTTCTGGTGTGCTGTCTCTCTCTCATTCCATCCCAAATCGGGTCACTCAGTTACATGACTGCTCATGCGACCTATTTCCAAATCACCGCAGCTTCTGTGTCAACCCAGACACGGTGGTGTCTATCCTGATGAGGCATCGAAGAGGTGCCGACCCTCCAGTCATACATGTGTTCTAGTGTAAATTTATGTTGAATACACATCCTTTTTTAAAATACATATATTTACAGTTAAAATTTCCCAACAGTGCACTGAACAGCCTGTTCAGTGCAAGCTAATGCACTGAACAGGCTGTTCAGTGCATTAGCATCTCTTTACTAAATGTCTTAAAGAAAAAGCTGATGGAAGAGGGGCGTATGCCCAAGACATATATTACAAAATAAATTAATAGATTTATTCAAAAGGAAGCATGTCCTTGAATAATTGAAAATAGTTTATAATATCAATTTCAGAAAAAGAACTAAAGTCTTAAATGCCAAGTAGATAACATATTCAATCAACTGAAGTCATAGTTTTATGTATCATAAACATTTTTGATTGTAATTAAATTGAAATTTTAAATTTTATCCTCAAATGCATCATTTGAATGTAAAACAAAAATTGAAATTTAACAATCTATGGCATTTGGGTGAATGTTTATTTTTATTTAATTTTAGATTGATACTGTGTGAAAAACTAGTGTTTTTGTTCTAAAATTACATGGGTACCCGTTTCTGTCTCCATATTTGCAACAAACTTTTTCCCATTACAAATGCTTGATTTATAGGAAGCAACTGAATGTTAAATAAAATAAATAATTGTACTGACATAAAATTGAATTATATCTATTAAAGTGCCAGACATATCTTGTTATAATTGTATTAAAATGAAACACATTCAGCAGTTTTGATCTTTTTATGAAAATTAATACTTTGCCACACCAAAGAAAATTTTATGAAATAAGTAATGTAACAAAATACAAATTGTATCAAACTTTTGATAAACATTAAATTTTAATATAAAGCTAAATAACAATATTTGCCAGATACAATGACTTATTTTTGTAACCATTCTGGTGAATGTTGGATTAGAAAGACCTAACAAATTTGTTTATTTGTTTAGAAACTCCTTTTCAGTGGTTACCAAAATAATTAAATTTTAAATTAAAATGCTATCTTAGAAATGATTATATCCAGAAAATGAATGATATTGTTTTGTTTGAATAATGGAAGAACAAGATTGTTGAGACTTTGTATGAGGACCTGGATAGAGTAGGGCCCTTTAGATGAAATAAATAGAATGTTCCTTTAATAAAAAGCAATCTTAAAGATTTTATTTTGTGTTAGTAAAAATAATGCCAGTTTTAATGGAATACAAATCATTATGGTCTCTTGGCTTGGAGAAAAAAATCCTTGTTGCCCCTCTTGATGGTGCTGTGGAAGAATGAAGTAAATGCTTCTCAAAAATTCAAGAAATTTTGTGAAATATTCATATGCATTCTGTAAAATTAGGAAAGCATCTTCCACATATTGAATCAAAAAGTGAATATTCATATACACAACTATTCAAATTGAATACTGAAAAAGTGAAAAATGTTTCATGTTTCAAATTACATATTAGAAATTCTTCAAAAAATGCAGATAATGCTAATTCCATTGGAGCTCCATGTCTAGATCTGTAAATTTTAAAGTTGTACACAAAATAATTATTTAAAAGAATTAATTCTATTGTATTATACATGATATGATAAAACTTGATTTATATGAAAACTTTTGTAGATGATGATTATGAAAAGTTAAAACAGATCAATGTGAAGACATTTTTTTTGTAAATTAAAGATTAGCAATCTAATAATAAAATACCAGATACATAAAGAATTATGGATTATTTTAAGTTGCAGTAGAGAGTGGCTAGATCTATTTGAATGAAAGGACCAGCAACAGTTCCATTCAATTTCAACAGTGTTCTACAGAAATGAAGTTAAAGAAATTCCAATTCTCTATAATTTCAGATCATCCCCAAATTGGAATTAAATACATCAACTTGGAGAAAATCAATGAATCAAATAATTTTGAATGAGTATTGATTGAATTTAGTTTCAACTTGGAAAAAATTGAGAATAACCACGAAATTCATCTAATTATTTAGTAGTATATTATCTAATGTGAATGGGGAAAAGAGAGTTGAAGAAAAAAACAGTCTCTAAATATTTGAAAGGAGGCACTATTTCTAGTTCTTATTCATTTAATTAAAACTTATTCAACTTTCAATCAGAACAATGCAGAATTTTTCAATTTGTTATAGCTTTCTAAGAATATAAGTACCGTATTTACTCGGGTATAAGATGATCTCGCATATAGGACGAGGTGTGACTTTAGAGATCAAAATAAAAAAATTAGATTTATTAATACAATTCTAATTTTATTTCATTTAATCACAAAATATTATCAAATGCATATATTAAGGCAAACAATCGCATTTGCCTTAATACGTGATGAATTGAAAACAAAACCAAAACATTATCGAGTGACTGGAAAAAGTTTATTTTTAATGATTCAGAATGTGCTAATATTCATTAAAAATAACAATTTAACTAATATAAAATAACTACATTTATAATCATTGCTAAGTGACCTGTGTTTCATTAATGTTTTTATAAATAACGAGAAACTATTTTCTGCCAACGAATGAGATGCAATGTGGTTTTTAATTGATGGATGTAGGATTAAACCAATAAACAAGGGATGTATGTAGGTGCCAACTTACGATAAATAGACT